CCCTCCAGGTTAAGCAGGAACGAGAAGATGAACTCAGGCATGCAGGGCCCCAAACACAAGGCCACAACTAATCCTTTCTATTGTGTATATGGTAAAAAAGTTAAAATGTTTCTGCTAGTTGAAGGAGGGTGTAAGAAAGATGAAGTCTACTTGCTATACTCCAGCTATCAACCCCTGAATACCCTCCCCACATCTTTCTCACTGAGGTTAGTGAGGGTGGACAGTTTCACTTGAGGAAAAACATTAAAAAGGCAAAACAAAACTACTGCTCCATGACTTATTGTCCTGTCAAATAGGGAGACTGGATCAATTCATGCTTGCAAAAGGACTTTGCCCTTTATTTATTGTATGATATCATCTCTATGGCACAAGAAGGTAAACAACATGAAAAAACGAAACAGTGGCACAAATACAGAATTCTAAATGAAGCGAGGCTGTCCATAGATTACACAAACCATTTTTTAAATGTAAAAGAAAATAAGAAATATAAAATAGATGTTTCTTTTCCCATCCCTAGTGAGTGACCCCAAGGATCTTTTGCAGGATAGAAGTCTTTCCATTGCCTTCAAGAATTTAAGGGGCTTTGGATCAGGCCTTAACTTCTCTGAAACTCAGCTGTACAATGAGTATAATACTTACCTTCAATCTTACTTAGGTGTGTTATGAGACTGAGATATATAATGTTTACAAAGTACAATCCTCAGATAAAAAGTGCTATGAAAGTGCAAAGTACTTTATAAGTATTTTAAAAGGAGATTTAATCTTAAAACTATAATTTGTTAATAACTTATTTGAGCTATTTCTATAGGCAGACTCCTCTTAATCTTCTGATAATTTAAACCTTATTTTGATTGTGTTTTGAACTGCATAAGGCCTTATTTACACATGATTAACTTTAAATATATAAGTAGTCCCACTCAAGTCAATAAGACTACTTGTGCTTAAAGCTAAACGCATGTATAAGTGATTGCAGAATTGCATCGATGCCACTATAGAACTTTTTTATAATTATAAGCATCCTGGTAAAGCTGTGTTTGGCCTTAATTACACCATATTCTGAACTGTAATTTTAAAAATTAAAGTACATAATATAAAAAGTTAAATAAATGCATTGGTAAATTGCAGCTATGATGTATATCAGTGGTTCTCAACTTATTTATCATTGTGGGCTGCATATGCGGCCCACAATGTGTTACCTGGGCTGCAGGGGCCAGGGTAGTGGCAGCCCAGACCCCGTTTCTGGACCCCGGATCCCCACTGTGCGGCTGCCCTGGACCCTGCACTGTGTGGGGCTGGGTGGCATCCCCAGAGCTTGCAGGGCCAGGCAATATAGGACCCCAACCCTGCCACACTGGGCAGCGGGGCAGCCTGGACCCCACCGCACCAGGTAGCCTGGAACCCAGACCCTGCCACATGGGCTGGCCTTAGCACACAGCTGAGCTGGGCCACAGCTGTGTGCTAATTGGGCCACATGCAGCCCATGGTCTGCGGGTTGAGAACCACTGATGTATATTGACAAAATAATTTTAAATTTTCAGGAAAACTGCAAAATGACAAATTTGGACAATGTGGTAAAAGGGTCTAATGTTGTGGATGAAGGACTATAGGATTGGTCTCAAGACTTATTTTTGGTATGAAAATAAAAACTCTTTTTGTCCTGACTGAATTCTCTTATGTCCCCATAAGCTTGATGGATGCCACTGCCCAAGGACTTGATACTGACACTCCAGGTCCATTTAGTTTTTCTCACTTGTGTCAGTTGTCACAGTCAATATTTTTTCATGGTTAGAGGAGGACCTCTCCCTGACTGTTGTCACTCCTTGCTAGAGCTACTGTTGCCATAGGCCGTGGGTGACTCCCCCCTTCTTCAGGAAGGCTAGTCCGCTGGCCTTTCCTCTTCCACCTGAGGCCCCACCCCCAGCCACTGGAGCCCCGACAACTCCCTCCCCCCCGGCGGTCGGAGAAGCCCCAGCCCAGCCATGCTGGCTGGCCCCCTTAGCGACGGGTTGAGCCACCAGCCCCCCTGCGCTGGGCCAGCCCCAGGCCAGCCCCAGTGCTGCCCTGGGTCACCAATGGGCCTGAGCTCCAGGCCGCCGGTTGAAGCTGAGTGAGCCCCTGCCGGCTTCAGGGTAGAGGGGGAGGGAGGGCAGGGCCTCGGGGCAGGACATGGGCGGGGCCACGGCCTGGGTCAGGGAAGGCTTAGCCTTCCCTGGTCTTTGATATTCACCGCCGATGACTATTGTATCTTGTCATTGCCACTATATATGACACAAGCAAGAAAATATAGGGCTTTGTAGGCTTTAGTCCCAAAGATTCTAAAAAATTGCGGAGTATTATTAGTCTCTTCCAAGAATTCATATAATTAGAATCCATTATTGCTTCATAGTTAGTCCCTGGAACTGACCTTATCACCTGAAAACAAAGCATAAGTATTATATTCAGATTGATTCATGGATTTAGGAACTGTTATCTATCTAGTTTCATTCCAGTATACTGCAAAAGTTAACCTTATTTCAGCTATGGTCAGGTTATTCTATTTTTAAATGTGATCAGCTGTCTAAATCCATTACTATTAATCATTAATTTCCCCCTTTATTTCCACTATAATTCTTCAGGCCTTTACAGCCTGTTATGAAACATGTACTTAGTTTTCTATTAACCTTATCACTGGAGGTCAGATTCCTTACCTTCCTCTGACATTCTGCAAGGAGTTCCACTATATAGTGTCTAATCTTAAAATAGCTGTTGCTTGCCATATGCTGGCACTGATGCCACTAATCTATTAGCTGCATGACTCACCCATCTACTGGCATCTTTCTTTCAAGGTCCCCATAGCACAGCTGACTATTCATGTCAGCAAGTGTGTGTGTTATTCTTTATATTATGCTTAAGTGTGCCAATTGCTAACCGTGGGACCAATCCTGCTTCCACCAAAATCATTAAGCGTTTTGCCATCACATTCATCTGGAGCAGACTTGGGCCCCTTAACCTCTCACTTTCTAGCAACTAGCTTTTTCTTATTTCCAGAGTAATTTGCAAAAAGAGAAAGAGGTTTGTAAGAAAGAAATAGACTGAAGAGTTTTCACAAGAAATGGCAATAGTGGCAAAATTCTGTGCTGACTAATGTAAATTAGTAAATGTTTCTAAGATGGTCAAACAATGGATGTAAGTAGCAAAATATTCTATATGTCCAGGGGGCTCTGCATTTTAATTTAATTTTAAATACAGCTTCTTAAAAGCCTTCTTTACTTTACATACAACAATAGTTTAGTTATATATTATAGACTTATAGAAAGAGACCTTCTAAAAACATTAAAATGTAATACTGGCACGCAAAACCTTAAATCAGAGTGAATAAAGAAGACTCGGCACACCACTTCTGAAAGGTTGCCGACCCCTGCTCTAGCTCATCATCACGTATCTCGAATATCTGCATGCTAACTTGCCCTAGCTCAACATATAGGATGTGGCCTGTAGGTTCCTTGCGTTACAGCTAAAATACTCAAATACAATCAGCCAAAATACTCTAATTATAATAAATAATAAACCTATAACAAGTGGTTAAATTCATAAGAAAAGATATATAGGCAAGCAAGCAGACTAGCCCTATAGGCTACATGACAGGCTTCCGTGAATTTTTGTTTATTGCCCATGACCTGTCCCTGACTTTTACTACAAATAACCAAGACAAAATTTTAACCGTAATTGTGATAAAGTCTTTAATTACATTATTATATACTGCTTTTTACCATGGGGGAATAAAGGGCTGTATAAATCGGGGGGGTGGGAGGGGTAAAGTGTGTGTGTGGATAGTGATTTCTATACTGCAGAGGGAGTCTGTGGGCAGGGAGGAGGTCTCTACAGTGCCAAGGTGTCTGTAAGGGTTGTAAGGGGTCTCTGTAATACAATGACTGGCTTTTTAATTTTACAAGCAAACACTTTCATTCTTTTTCACATGCTGCCCCTCACGCTTGGAAAGAGTTCTCCCATTTTCCTCCTTCAAATCCCTCCTTAAAACTCTTCTTTGCTCTGATGCCTGTAAAAATGTGACAAGGTTAGGCAGCCAGTGTGCTGAAATTGCTGCCTATCATGTTGGCAGATAGTGTCTTCTTGTGCTCCCCCATTTGCCTGTCTGTCTCCACCTGTTGTCATGACTTATGCTTATATTGTAAGCTCTTTGGGGGCAAGGACTGTCTTTTTGTTCTGTGTTTTTATGGAGCTTAGCACAATGGGGTCCTTGTCCATGACTGTGGCTTGTAAGTGTGTGCTTCCGTAACAAATAAATAAATAATAAATAGGGTGGGAGGGTGGCTATGAAGGATTTACAGGTCTGGGGGCTCCACAGTGCAGAGGGTGTCAGTGGTGCAGAAGGGTGGCTGTGCAGTGCTGGGATGTCAGAGGTCTCTGTGGTTCAGTGGGTGGCTGTAGAGTGCAGGGGTCTTTGGGGTTTCTATGGTTCAAGGGTGGCTATGCGGGTCCAGGGGTCTCAATGGTAGCTGTTGGGGGGAGGAGTCATCTCAGTGGTTCGGGGTGGCTGTTCAGGTGTGAGGGTCTCAGTGGTTTAGGGATGGTTGTGGGGGGCAGCGATCTCTGGGGTCTCAGTAATTTGCGGGGTCTCCGGTTGGGGGTGGCCGTGGGGAGGGCCAAGGGGGTGTCTGGGGGTCTCAGTAATTTGGCAGTGGGTGTGCAGGTATGGGGGTTTCTGGTTGGGGGTCTCTGGGGTCTCAGTAATTTGGGGGTGGCCGTGTGGGTTTGGCGATCTCTGGTAAGGGGATGGCTGTGGGGCAGTACCTAGGGGGTCTCTGGGGTCTCAGTGATTGGGGGTAGCTGGATCTGTGTTATGGGGTCTCTCGTAGCCGCCGCCCCTTCCCCGGAAGTATCCCCCGGCGGGGTGGCCGCGTCCCCCGTTACCAGGGAGTGGCCCCGGAAGCGGTAGGGGCGGCGGCCCTGCTGCGGCTGCTCCCGCTTCCCCCGCCCCCCGCGGGATGCTCCCGGCCGGCGCCTCTCGGCAGCGCAGGCGGCAGCGGGGGCGGCGCATGGAGCCGGCGGGCGGGCAGTAGCGGGGCGGAGGCGGCCATGGGGGTGGCTGGCGGGGTGTGAGGAGGAGCCGGGGGAGCCCCAGCCGGAGGCCCGGCGGGAACAGCCCCGTCCCGCGGGCAGGTGAGAGCCGGAGACTCCGCGGGGCCTGCAGGGGAGGGACCCCCATCGCGGCGGGCAGCGGTTCCCGTTCAACACCCCCCGCCCCAGGCAGCAGCGGAGAGGGACGGTGCCCGAGAACCCTTCGCGCAGCGACACACCAGCCCCGCCCCCCCATGGGGGGGACCCACCTGCCCACACACATCTGCTCCCCAGCCCACGTGGGGTGACCCACCTCCCCCAACACCAGCCCCCCCCGCCCACGTGGGGGAGGGACCCTCTTCGCCCAACTCAACCTTCTCCAGCCCACCCCATACTAATCCCTCCATCCCTGGGTGCCAGAAGAGCAGATTCTGCCCCAGCTCAACTACATTGCTGCTATGGTGATAACCCGTGTCACCGTGATTGTGTAGTGATGTGTCTCAAACCACTCTATACCGTGTACTCGTGATACATCTTTAATGACCTGCTTTATAGAAATGTACATTGAAATACATGTTATCTATCTGTAGACACTGCTGAAGGGCCCACTCACTTTAGTGTCTTGGGACCGATTTTTAAAAATTGTATGTGTGTAATTCTGTGTATTTTAATACAGTTTTAAGTATACCAAATTTAATTCTGCATAGCCTTGACACTGGTACGCCTTGGGGCTCTGACCCTATAAATACTTACTACTAAGGGTACGTCTATACTTACCTCCGGGTTTGGCGGTAAGCAATCGATCTTCTGGGATCGATTTATCGTGTTTTGTCTAGACGCGATAAATCGATCCCAGAAGTGCTCGCCGTCAACGCCGGTAATCCTGCTCCGCGAGAGGAGTACGCGGAGTCGATGGGGGAGCCTGCCTGCCGCGTGTGGACCCGCGGTAAGTACCTTGTCGTTTGAACTAAGATACTTCGACTTCAGCGACATTATTCACGTAGCTGAAGTTGCGTATCTTAGTTCGAACTGGGGGGTTAGTGTGGACCAGCCCTTAGTGAGTTGGTACTACCAAGAGTTCCTAGTCCATGATTTATCCCAATGGGACTACTCTCAGTAGCAAACACTATGTTCAGTAGTGGTAAGCACTTGTGGGAGTGGGCCTATGGAGTTTGTATTTATCTAGTTTATATTTATCACTTTATATGTGATGTGTTTCTAGTAATTCTGGATTACTGATCTCTATAGTTCCAATTAATTTATGTATATTTTTATTTTGTTATGTATCAGTTCATTGTACAACTTTTACTGTTCAGGCCCCATTTATTTGATATTTAAGAACTTTTAAAATATACCTGGTATCAGATAATATGATCCTGCAGTTCTCTTACACAGGCAAAACTACCACTGACTTAATGAGATTTTTATATTAACTTTAAAGGGTATTGCTGGAGTATGAACTCAGAATTGTAGTCTTAAACATCAGAGATGGAGAGAACCTTTTAGATCATCTAATCCAGTGGTCTTCAACCCTCTTATGCACAAGATCACTTTTTGAATGTAAATGCAACCCAGGATCTACCCTGCCTCTTCCCCGAGGCCCTGCTCCATTCACTCATTCCCCTTCCCTCCGTTGCTCACTCTCCCACACCTTCATGCACTTTCACGCCTGAGCCTGGCGTAGGGGTTGGGGTACAGGAGGGGGTAAGGGGTGCAATCTCTGGGAAGGAGTTTGGGTGCAGGAGGGGACTGTGGGCTGGGGTAGAGTGTTGGAGTGCAGGAGGGGGTATGGGTTGCTGGCTCTGGGAGGGGGCTCAGGGCTGAGGCAGGGGGTTTGGGGTGCTAGCTCCTGGAGGGGGCTCAGGGCAGGGGGTAGGGGTGCGGGCTCCCGGCAGGCAGCACTTACCTCGGGTGGCTCCTGGTTGGCGGCACTGCGGGGCTAAAGCAAGCTCCCTGCCTGCCCAAGCCCTGTGCCATTCCCGGAAACAGCTAGCACGTCTCTGCAGACCCTGGAAGAGGGCATGAGGCTCCGCATGCTGCCCCTCCCTGCAGGCACTGTCCCTGCAGTTCCCCGTTCCCGGCCAATGGGAGCTGCAGGGGCGGTACCTGCGGAGACCCCCTGCCCCCACCTCCTGGGACACAGGGACACGTTGGCCTCTTTCAGGAGCGGGGGTACGGGCAGGCAAAGAGCCTTAGCCACGCTGCGTGGCCGGACTTTTAGTGGCTGGAGATCGTGATCGATTGTCAGAGGCTCCAGGATCGACCAGTCAATCGCGATCTACTGGTTGGTGACCACTGATCTAATCACACTGTGGGGGGCGGGGGGGGGTGGAGGAGGGAGAGAGGCATATCGGATATAAATCCCTATAGACTGAGCATTAGATATTGGATTAAATTTATACTACTCTTGATTGTAGCCTTAAAGTATTACCTATACTGTTGAATATATGTTGTTACTTTCCTGTAATCTTTTTCAGGGTTACGGTAGCATGTTAAGACAAATATTTTTGCTTGCAGTTATTTGTAAATACATTATAAAAAACACAAAGCTTTAAACAGTTTAATTATGCATCCTCCTGGGATAATAAATTTAGCACTCAGGATATTTTGATGATTTGGAGTCTCTTGTAATATTGACCTCGCATTAGATCTTGGGTCCTTTAAAAATAGGGACATCAAGATTTAATGTTCCTAAATGAAAGGAAGGATGGTCTTGTGGTTTAGACACTGGAGGTTAAATTCTGTGCTTAACTTTGCCACACACTTCCTCTGTCACCTTCAAAAAATTACCTAATCTCTCTGTTGCCCTGGTGGGGATATTTCCCATCCTCATAATTGTGTTGTGAGGATAAATTCATCTACATTTGTGAAGAACTCAGATGCTCCAGTAAGGAGGGCCTGTTTAAGTACCTAGATAGAGTATGTGTGTGTGTGTGTGTTTTAATTAAAAAAGGGGGGGGGCAGAAAAAGAAACTTTGTGGCAGTCTTTAATCACCACAAAGAAGCAATAAAGGAGGGTACAAACACCGTTCAGTTCTCCTGTAGCTTTGAAATTCACCTTTTACCCTGGAAGGTGGTTATATCCCCAGGGTGTTAAACAGGGGAGGGGACTAACTAGTCAGCTGTGGTTTAATAGACTGGAAGAGTAAGTTTTAAAAATCTCTAGAAGACCCTCCTCACAGGTCTGAGCGCATAACCTTCTTGGGAACAAGATATCAGAACTAGTAACTGAACCTCTCTCTCCCGTATGGTAGTGTAGAGCGGTTTTGCTAGGCCAGTATCTCCGATGCCTTGTTTAAGAAAATATAGGATGTGTTGTAATATCTTAGGGTATATATATCTGCGGGTCCCTGTTGTAGCCTCTGTCCATCATGCCCTTAGAGATTTTTTCAAATATTTTGGCATTTCGTCTTTTGGAACAGAGTTCTGATAGCACGGATTCGTCTCCCCAAACAGTGATCAGATCCAGTTCCTCCTGTTCAGTCCATGCTGGAGCTCGTTTGCGATTCTGGGACTGCATGGTCACCTGTGCTGATGAGCTTGCCACACTGGCCAAACAGGAAATTAAATTTAAAAGTTCCCGGGGTTTTTGCTGTGTACTGCATCTGAGTTGAAAGCGCTGTCCAGAGCGGTCACAATGGAGCACTCTGGGATAGCTCCCGGAGACCAATTCCGTCGAATTGCATCCACACTACCCCAAATTTGACCCGGTGATGATGATTTCAGCGCTAATCCTCTCATCGGAGAGGAGTACCGAAATCGATTTTAAGCGCTCTTTAAGTCGACAAAAATGGCTTCATTGTGTGGACTGGTGCAGGGTTAAATCGATCTAACGCTGCTAAATTCGACCTAAACTCGTAGTGTAGACCAGGGCTTAGTAAAAAGATGGCTCTGCAGGAAAAGATGCTGTGGCAGCCAACTTCCTTTGTATTTAATTTTGGTTTTCAGAAATTAGTTTATTGTGCCTCTAGTTTTTAATACTTAACACTTTTAATACTACCGTGAGATCACATACATTAGTGAGTCATTTACTGCCAGTGAAAAACACACTTCCCTTCAGCTAAATGAGCCCTTTAAAGCCTGGTCATAAATCTTTGCAGGATCAGGGCCACAGATAGGAGTAGGAGGCACCTGCCCTGAAGAATTCACAATCTAAATAGACAAGACAGACAAACGTAGGAGAAATATCAAATGGGGATAATACTTCCTGTGAGGGTTGAACTTGAGCCACAGAGAAATTAAGTAATTTATCCCAGATCCCATAAGAAGAGTCTGTGGCAAAGCTGGGAATTGATGACAGATCTTTTGAGTTCTATTCCCTGTGCCTTGACCGCAAGATCACACTTTCTCTCACACAAGTCTGCCTTATATCAATTCAGAACTATTTTTTAATCTTCAGTAAAATAAAAAAAAACGCATAATGGAGGGTCCACTAGTAAATGTGAGTTTGAAGTTTTAATTTCTGATTCACTTGAGAATCATACACTTTAATTAATTTATTAAGTTATTCTCCGTTTGATATCTGTGTTTTACATATCAGAACAGATGCAGAGCATTGTGTGAGATGTTTTTTACATTTTTTTTCTGGCTCTCAGATGGCAGCAGTTTGTCCTTTGCCTGTTGTCCCAGGCAGAGCCAGAAGAGAACTCTTGTTTGTCTCAGTCAGAATAGTAGCATTTGATCTGAGGAGAATGATGGGTGGGTTTTTTAACCTATTACGAGCCAGCAATTTTCCATTTTTTCAAATAGCTATGGGGGAGCTAACTAGGCAACTCCTCTGGAGTTCAATTTTAAAAGTAACTTGTGGATTGAATAGCAACAGTGGGGTTTTGCATATCATAACTTAACCCTGTTGAAGACAAAGACAGGTCATCTTTGGCTCCACTAATCCATTTAGTTGCATAATAGTTATAGTTAAACCATGCTCTTCCAATTAGATCCACTCTGCCAAATGCCTGCACCCACTGAGATCCTCATTGACTTCATTATAACGTCTGTTAGATTTTTTTTTTAATTGTGTATTAGAAGGGTGTTATGCTGCTATGTGAGAAATGGGATATAGGAAATGAGCTCTAGATGACAGGAAGTGACTATTTTATCAGGGTTTGGCTTTTAAGGGCTCTTCTCCAATAAGCGTTTTAAAGATCTTGATTCTGGAGATTAATATTGTTAACTCTCTTGAGAGTTGCTTGTCAATGCACCCAACCAAAAGCAAGTTGCTAACTAGCAGTTATATGAAATAAAGAAACAATCATATGAAAACAACAAGAAGATTTTGAAATTAAATAAAAAATGTTGTGTCCTACAGTATACTGTGAATATTTGATAGAGGATTCACAACATAAATCCTTTACATAGTCTCACATTGTTGTTTCCATAGTTACTGAGTAAGGTGGGCCATGAAATATCTCCCATTTAAAAGAGAGATTTTCATTTAAGTGTTGACTATAAATGATAACATTTCCAGTACACGAAATTTTATTTTGTAAACATCCAAGATAAAGGCAAGTTAGTGGTCTCAGTTCAGTGGACGGATAGTCACTAGCACAGTTGATGCTAATCTGTACTCTTGTTAGCAGTTTTGGAGAGGCCATAGAGACTTGAATTACGTTCTCATTCCTAAATGTGGTCCCTTAGGTGAGATTTGAGGGATGCTCAAATGGGTCAGGGCAGCATGAAAGAGGCTTGCAACTACTGCTACCCAGCTATATCTGTTCTGGGAATAAATATAGGACTTCAGTCTCTAGTGCTAATGGAGCCATCGTCTTTCTCAAATACTGAATGAATTTACTTCTTCCTCCTCTAAAAAGGTTAAAGGTAAGTTACCCTGTGGATACACTTTCATTTCTCCATTTGGATTTATCTGGCCTGTATTAAGTACAAAATGAAAGAGAGGCAGTCTTGAAACTATGCAACACTACAGGTTGATTTTTCTTTAGGATAATGGCAGGAAAAGTGAAATGGGTAACTGACATAGAAAAGTCCGTGCTAATAAATAACTTTGAAAAGAGAGGATGGATTCAGGTGGCAGAAAATGAAGACTGGAATTTTTACTGGTAAGTACATATAAGAATTCTCATATTTTTCAATTTGCAGTACATTTTAAAATGAACTTTTCCATAACTAAAACCAGTGTTAATGATTTATTGTTAATATTAAAAATTAAAGGCTCCATACAAATGTAGAATATCACTGATGTCTTGTAACACTGAAGGGAAGCATGCCTCCATTAAAGTGCCAGTGTTTTCTGCAGCACTGCAGGGCCTTAATCCTGCAGTTACATCTGCATGAGGAGACCCTTCTACCTGTGCAGGCCCAATTGAAGTCATTAGGACTCCCCAGGGGTGCAGGGGCCTGTCTGTATTAATCCAGTGGCAGGATTGAGGCATAGGAGGTAGGTGTGGTTTTTTTCTTTGATTGTTTCGTGGGTTGTTTTTTTGTTTTGTTTTCAAAAGCTGCCACCTGAAACACATGCAGTGTAGTTTTAGTTATGTCAGTTCCACGGTATTAAAGAGACAAGGTGAGGTAATATCTTTTAGTTTTACTGGACCAACTTCTGTTGGAGAGAGAGTCAAACTTTTGAGCCACACAGGTCTTCTTCAGGTCTGGAAAAGGTACTCTGAGCATCACAGCTAAATGCAAGATGGAACAGATTGTTTAGCATAAGTAGTTAGCACATATACTAAGGGACCGTTCAAGTTAGACTGGTCCGTTAACACCTCTGCTTTCATGGGCCCAAAAGGGGGGTTAGTGGGCTACAGATTCTTATTACAATCTGTACCCTACTAACCTCCTTTTTGCCCTATGACTGCAGAGGTCCACTTTTTGCCACGGTCCCGGCCCCCTGCCACTCATCAACTCCTGAGGCCTCGCCCCTCCCCGGCCAAGCCGGAAGCTGGAGCCCGGCCTGGGTAAGAGTGGCCCATGGAACCCAGGGAGCTGTGGACCTTCCACCTGCCTGGGGGGAGGTGGGCCCCAGAGAGCAGCCCCCCAACCCGTGTCCCTCCCCTCCCCCCCGGGCTCCCCGTCAGGGCAGATAGAGGGGCCACGGCTCCCCACAGCTGCCCGGGTGGCTCTTACCATGGTCCAGCTGCAGCTTGTCAGCCCCATAGGCCCTGCCCCCAGGCCATGCCTCATGTTTCCCCCCCACCTCCATGCACACGCTTTTAGGAAGAATCCCTCGCCCCTGATTGGGGGTTAATGCTGTGCTGCTGTGGCTCAGAGCCCTGACACTGGTAGCCAACCCACAAGCATAAAGGTCTCACCTTGGCTTCCACCAGCCTAATTGCTCCTTGCAGGGTGACCCCAACAGCCGTTCTGATCCCAAGTCTCCCCAAATTCATCCAACCTGAGTTCTTAATCACCAGACACTCAGACTTTTCCCCTTTGGTTCATCATCCCTGAAGGCATGAAACCAGCCCCCCAGATAGCAGCTTGCTTTGGTGCACACACTCCCCACAGTTTGCACATCAGAGACCTGCTTGGGGTACAACTAAACAAAAAGTTTATTTAATTGAAAAATCATAGATTCAAAGGGGAAGCATACACATTCAAGTTACACAGAAAATAAATGCAAAGATATAACCTTAGGCTTTACATTTCCAAATTAGATAAACTTCACTTTCTAGCATAAGTTGCCTATTGCCTCTGAACAGTTTCCCAGCGTACCCCATGTCATAGAGAGGATCCACGGTTTCACGGACAACACCCACCAATGACTGTCCCTTAGTTTCTGAATGGAAACCTCAGTTTCAAGCCTCCTATTTTTCTCTTCTTTTGTTTTTTTCTCTTGTCTCGGTGACTTCTGGTTATTCAGGGTGGGAAAATTCTAGCTAGGATGTCTGTGTTTTCTCCCTAAGGCTATGTCTACACTACACAGTTTTTAGCGACACAACTGTGCCGCTAAAAGGCACGCAGTGTAGCTGCTGTTTGTCGACTCTCCTGCTGACAAAACACTTCCACTCCCAACGAGCAGCATTAGCGTTGTGGGCAGGGGAGCACTCCTGCTGATAAAGAGCTGTTCACACTGCTGCTTGTTGGCAAAACTTTTGTCTTTCAGGGTGAGTGTGTGTGTGTGTGTTTTAACACCTCTGAAAGACAAAAGTTTTGTCCTCCAGTTGCCAATGTAGACATAGCCTAACTCTAAAGGCCCATCATTTGTCTTTTCCTGGATTGTACAATATTAGGTGCTTGGAGCTAGTCTCTTCTGGTTGGGGAGGCAGCCCCTCCCTGCTTGACGGCACTACAAATCATGAGCACAGTTTTCTGTATACATGAATTCATAACAATGGTCTGTATATAGATCTCATAATGACCATGTTTAGAACATTACAGACTTTTGTAAAAGACTTTAGTCAATATTGTATAGAACCAGATGATTAATTTGCCTATTTGGAGTTCAGGCCTCTTGTCCCCTTGGAGTGTCTGGACCTTGATTGTCATAGTCAGTCACAGTAAATGGTGCAGCTCTGTGACCCTCCCTCTCCTTTCTTAGATGAGGAATGACATAGTTAGCAATGTGGGTGTCCAAGTGGGACCCGCACCTTACAGAGCTGAATAGTGCAGTTCACACCTCCCAGAGCTATTGTTCCAGGCTCTTTGCAGACTTGCAGATGTCTCTGAATCATATTCATATTTTTGAAGTTTCATTCAAAACATAAGTTAGATTTCCTTTCTTTTTATAGAAAAGGAAAGTTGATATTTTGAAGAACAAGATAGTAGCTCCAGAGAGGTGCTGTTATGGTGTGTGGACATGTATTGGGTGTTCCCAAGCCCTGTTGTTGACTGATTGGCCACTGATAGTGCCAGGATAGGATGGGCACAAGTTGACTCCCTTCTGTCCCTGCCCTGGTTTCGGAACTGGCGTAGGAGTAAATAGTGCCTGTAGGCCTGCAGTCTTGTCTGGCAGGGTTTCATCTGGATTCACTAACATTCGTTCAGGATGTGTTGAAGTTTGAATCATAACCTAAGTATCCATCCTATAAAGAGAAATGTTAAACACAGAGAGAGGTCACAGATTCCCTTAAAAGTAGTATTCCTTAACATTATGCTTAGTCTTTTTTCTTTTAATCTTCTAAATTCGGTACACTAACCAAAGTGAAATTAGAAAATAAAGGAGACAACAACTTGATTGTCCTCCTTTTGAATGCTGTTGCTTGGGAGGAAATCATCTGACATTTGTTTCACCTTCTAGGATGAGCGTACAAACCATCCGCAATGTTTTCAGTGTGGAAACTGGTTACCGGCTTTCTGATGACCAAATCGTCAACCATTTCCCGAACCACTATGAGCTGACACGGAAGGACTTGATGGTGAAAAATATCAAGAGATATAGGAAAGAACTAGAAAAAGAAGGGAGTCCTCTTGCAGAGAAAGATGAGAATGGAAAATATATTTATTTAGGTATATATTTCTGACTGCCAGCATCGTTCTTGACCACACATCGATTATACATGTTCATTTTGTGATAATAGTAGGATAAAACTGCAGATTAATGCACTTCAAACAAAAGCAGTACTGGATGTTGGAATCCGTTTGGGATTCTTGCCTAAGCTAGATAAATTTGCACGTCACAGCTTTAGTATGATGCTTTCAGAAAATTTAGTGCTCAGAGATGTCAGAAAGTCTTGGAGAGTAAAATTGCGTATTTTTTTTAATCTGCAGAATAGGTTTGGCATAGGCAATGAAATTGACAGGTAATTTGGTGATACTTGCAAAGTTCCTCGGTGCTGCTCGTTAAAGACTGTTTTTAAGGGTGCCATAATTCAATGTCCACATTCAGTCCTTGGCATCTTTGCTAGTGTCTTGCCAACGGTACGTTTATAGTAGTGGTTCTAGTGATGTAGCAGGGCTTCCATGACATAAACGTAGCCTTAGTCATGATACTGTTCTTGCGTGTGAACAAGCGAGTAAAAAAAACTTCAGGCTCACTCACCACACTAGCAAAAAGAACACAAATAATTCTTAGTATTTTATATAGTGTATTACATTTTTAAAGCTCTTCTCAAACATTGCCTTGAAAGTTAATGGATAAATCTTCTACAAATAGAGAAAATGCGGCAAAGGGCCTGTAACTTGCTCAGGGCTTCAGAGGCAGTTAATAATTGGGATTAACACTTGGGTGTTCCTTGTTCCGGTTCTAAACTCAGAGTACTGAACCATATGCCCCTCTTGTATACCACTAGTCACATATATGGAGGAAGACAAATCCAATTTGCAGACACATGTTTTAAGCTTCTAAATTGGTGCTGATAACAAAGTTAACATTATTTTAAATTGACATACTTTGGGTGGCCCCTTTTAAAAGTTACTCTGAATCACTATCACAAAAAGCCATTATTTCCCTTTTATTAAGGTTAAGAATTTTCTCACTTTTTAATCAGAACTAGACCTCAGTTCTGGAAGTGTGGTTGAAAGCAGGTATATCAGTTGTAGAATAGTTAAAGCCTTTTTCCCTATGCAGTGGAAGAGGTTAGCTCAGGTTAATTATGGACACCTGAATCTAATTAAGGGCAGCCTGCGGCCTTTAAAAACCTCTGCCATTAACAGTGAAAAGAAAAGAGGGATGAGACTCAAGCTGCAGGAGGGTTGTGTGCAGCCAGGGGAAAAGGCTTCTTCTAGATAAAGAGCTGGTTTTCCCCATAAGGGGAAATTTAGTGTTTATTTCTGTTTGGAGAGGAGGCCTAGCTGGGCCCAGAGTGGGTTAGAGAGGGTGGCTGGCAATTAGTAGCCGGCATAAGAAGAAGCAGTATTCCAGTGGGAGTTAGGAAATGTAATTTTTTGTTTTTGTTTAAAGAAGACCTCGGGCCAACACTAAGGCCTAACCAGTAAATATTGTCAATAAACCAGTGTGAAGTATTAAACCTCCAGAGTGGGACTGATTTACCCCAGACCCTCTCAACGCAGAGAGAGAAACACTCAGTCCTGATGTGATGAAAGAGGTGTGTTGCCACAGAACCAAAAGAAGAAGGATGGAAGAGGCTATTGGGAAGGTTTGGGGTTTCATGCAGAGACTTAGCTGTGAGATTCTAGAACTTTTTACCAACTATTTCAAAACTAAAACAGCTTTCTCTTATTCGTGGGACAAAATATTAAAACCTTTAAAAGATTTTTCACTTTAGAACCCACCAAATTCCATTTTCCGTTTTTTCCAAGTTGTCCCAGATTGAGGTGTCAGTAGAGGAGGTTTTGAAACAAATTAATAAATTAAATAGCAGTAGTCACCAGGATCAGATGGTTTTCACCTAAGAGTTCTGAAGGAATTCAAAATATGAAATTGTAGAACTACTAACTGTGGTATGTAACCTAGTGCTTAACTCAGCCTCTATACCAGATGACTGAAGGATAGATAATATAGCACCAATTTTTTAAAAAGGCTCGAAAAGATAATGCTGGCAATTACAGGCTGGTAAGCATAACTTCAATATCAGGCAAATTTGTTGAAACTGTAGCTAAGAACAGACTTATCAGACACATAGATGAACATAATTTCTTCGGAAGGAGTCAACGTGGCTTTTGTAAAGGGAAATCATGCCATACCAATCTATTAGAATTCTTTGACAGTGTCAACAAACATGTGGACAAGGGTAATCCAGTTTATATAGTGTACTTGGACATTAAGAAAACCTTTGACAAGGTCTCATACCAGAGACTTTTAACTAAAGTAAGTAGTCCTAGGATAAGAGGGAAGGTCCTCTACTGGATTGGTAACTGGTTAAAAGATAGGAAACAAATGGTAGGAATAAATGGTCATTTCTCACAGTGGAGAGAAGTAAATAGTGGGAACCTGCAAGGATCTATACTGGAACCAGTGCTATTCATAAATATCAAGAAAAGGGAGTAAACAATGAGGTGGTAACATCTGCAGATGATACAGACCTACTGAAGATAGTTACCGTAAGTCCAAAGCTGACTGGGCAACAAAATGGCAAATGAAATTCAGCATTGATAAGTGCAAAGTAATGCATATAGGAAAACATAATCCCAACTATACATACAAAATTTTGGGGTCTAAATTGGCTGTTAACCAGTTAAGAAAGAGATCTTGGAGTCGTCATGGATAGTTCTCTGAAAACATCAGTATGCAGTGGCAGTGAAAAAAGCTAACAATGTTAGGAACCATTGAGAAAGTGATAGATACTAAGACAGAAAATATTATAATGCCACTATAAATCATGGTATACCCATACCTTGAATACTGCATGCAGTTCTGGTTGCACAATCTCAAAAAAGATATATTAGAATTGGAAAAAGTACAGAGAAAGGCAACAAAAATGACTTGGGTATGAAATAGCTTCCATATGAGGAGAGATTAAAAAGACGGGGACTGTTCATCTTAGAAAAGAAATGACTAAATGGGAATATGATAGAGGTATATAAAAGCATGAATGATGTGGAGAACGTGCATAAGAACGTATTTACCCCTTCACATAACGCACAAAACAGGGTCACCCAATGAAATTAATAGGCAGCAGATGTAAAACAAACATAAGGATGTACTTCATACAACGCACAGTCAATCTGTGGAATGTGTTGCCAGAGGACATTGTGAAGGCCAAAATTATAACTGGGTAAAAATAAAAATTAGATAAGTTCATGGAGGTTAGGTCCATCAATAGCTTTTGGCCAAGATGGTCAGGGATACAACCCTGTGCTCTGGGTGACCCTAAACCTTTGACTGCCAGAAGCTGGGAATGGACCATACAGGATAGATCACTCAGTAATTGCCCTGTTCTGTTCTGGCACTGACCACAGTCGGAAGACAGGACTCTGGGTTAGATGGACCATTGGTCTTCCACAGTATTGCTGTTCTTATGTTGTGGTCTTATGTTCTCTCATATCAAAAGGGGGTAGATCAGACAAGGACACAGTAGTTAATCTGTACTGAAGAATGGAAAGCCAGCAAAGATATTTTTACCTGTATACATTGATATCCTTGCTAGATCTAAAGTTCTAAATCTTGCTTTTTGTTTGCTGATGTAGATTTTGTGCCTGTCACCTTTATGCTCCCTGCTGATTACAACCTGTTTGTTGAAGAATTCAGAAAAAATCCTTCCAGCACCTGGATTATGAAACCTTGCGGGAAAGCCCAGGGCAAGGGGATATTTCTTATCAATAAACTCTCTCAAATTAAAAAGTGGTCTCGAGACAGTAAAACATCTTCGTAAGTTTAACCTCCTCCCCCCCATTTTTTGTGTATTTTGTAATATTCTATCACAGTCTGGCATGCTTAATATCAATTTACTAACGGAGAACTCTTTCCGTGCACCTAACCACTTAGCATTACTTCATTATAGTTGCAATTTCTCATTTAATGACTTCCTGCTTCCAACAGCTCTTAGTGCCAATTATTGCATTTGGTGCCATGTGGCACAAGCACTAATTCAGTGAGCTACACTATATAAATATGCTTTCTGTGAAGGTGCAGGGTTTGTATGCCCAGCTATGTGAGGAATAAAATTGCATGGGCAGACTGGAATAATGATTTTGCTTCACAGCATTAAAGAATTGTGAGTTAGAGGAAAGTCTTTCACTTCTAGTAAGTGACTTCATTTTCAGTCTGAGGAAGATTGTGTGACGTACAACCCCATCCTCAGTTGAACCATGAAATCTCTTCACTGTTCTGCGTAGAAAAAAACAGCCTGCGTGGACTGTCTTCAATAAGGGGCCTGGAGAGAGGAGCTATTGGCTGTGGCCTATTAGGCAGTTAAAGAGCAGAGCTGGCAGCTGGGCCTCATGAATAGGGAAGCCATAAAATCTAAGTCTTGCATTAAGGTAGGAGGAAGGAATAGAGCATCCTCACAATGAGTCAGAAGAGGAAGAAGCTTGGGGAAAGGGACCATGATTCTTGTTTTTGTCTCCTATCCCACCCAACACAGAGGAGGAATGTGGCTGCTCTACCAAGAGAAAAATCTGTATTGCTTGACCTTTTTTGTTATCCCATTCTGATTAAAAAAGTAACTGTGAGACAAGTAGCCTTCCAATACAAAAGCAACCTGAAGAACTTCTTTTTTGCATTTTTATTCTTAGTTGTCTTTTTTCCCCTCGGGTTTAAAAGTGTTGGTGACCGCATTTCTGAGAGGACTTTTAACAGTCAGATCTTATTAAAAATTATTGATAATTTAAGAGGCAAACTGATGTTGCCATTAACGTGGCTTGATGGTTTAAATCATCGATATTGACTACTGATAAACATAATTGCAAAGGCCCCAATTAGTGACGCACTCAAGTCTGTATTTAAGGGCTTTGCTAAATAAAATAGCTTGCTGAGTCGGAGCCTAAATGCTCTTCTTATAACAGTGAAATGTAAAAAACTTAAATGGACAGCTAATCCCACTCATTTGTTTTAGCTATGTTTTTTGTGAAACCAAGTGCCCTGCACACATTAACCAGCATAATATTAAAACTTAATTGAAGTGTGATATAGGATTCTAGTAAAGTTAAAACTTCATTACTTTTTGAGAGACTGCTTCTAAGGGAGGAAAACATTTCAACATTTAATCAGCACATTCTGAAACATACAATATGTACTTTTTCCAGGTTTGTTTCTCAATCTTCTAAAGAAGCCTATGTAATTTCTCTCTATATCAACAATCCATTACTGATTGGTGGGAAGAAATTTGACCTGCGCTTGTATGTTTTAGTGTCTACGTATCGTCCGCTGCGGTGTTACATGTAAGATCAAACTAATTTCT